TATGATTTACATATAGAACCGTGTTGCATTACACTATGATAATTAATCAGTTCACTAGAGAATCATCAATTAATTAAAAATTTTATTTTTTGTAAAAATTAGATTGTTTTAATTTACATGTAATACCAATTTTGTATTTACATATAGGGTAATACTACGGCACTATAGCACTATAATAATATTTTCTAGATATAATATAAAACCAAAACCAAAATATTTTAAACTCTAACTCTAATACTAGTTGTAAAATTTTTTAAAGTAGTAATACTAAAGTTTTAGATTAATCTATATAAATTAGCTAATTATATTAATTATATAAATACCTTTTTACAAAAAATTATTCTAGTAAGATTTTTACAAGAACTACAAAAACTTTAAAAAAATTAGATATTTAGTAGAGTTATAACAATAGTAAGAAATATAAATTAATATTATTGTAACAAGTTATTAAAAAAACCCAGATTTTTTATATAATTTACAATAAAAATTAATTGCAATTAATTATAATTAATTGTAACTAAAAAAAATTGTAATTAATTTTCTTTATAGTCAATTATATATTTAATATACTTGTCTTAAAGTTTTAATTATTGTCGCGAATTATCGTGAAATTTGGATCTATTTTATGTACGATTTTTAAATTTTTTTGGGTATTCTTTGTCGGCTTTTTTCTATAGTTAAGTTAGAATTTAGGGTTAGAGTTATTAATAAAAGAGTCTAGATGGATTTTGGTAGGGCTTATATTTTCAAATTGAGACCCCAAATTTCACGATGATCCGATTTCACGATCCGCGACAATTATTAATAAACATAATAGCATATTAAAAATTACCCGATTAGCAATAGAATATCATCAATCCTTTCAAGAGCTTACAAAATAATTGGTAATTAAGTAGCAAGTAAAATTACTATAAAAAGCTCAATTATAACGATCTAGTCGTGTTTAGTTGATTAAACTTTCTTGTAATAGATATAAAAATAGTTATTATCTATTTAGGACCATGACAAATATTAGCTAATATTTTTGAAGTAGGAGGGTTAAAAAAAAACTTATATATAAAATTTATTAATTAGGGTAAGCCTTTATACGGATATTATGTAATAAATGTCATTGCGTTTATCAAACTAATAATTTTAATACTAATTCATAATTTTTTCATTTAACTTATCGGTTATAGTAGACACCTTAATAATCATTTACAAATTCATTGGTACTATCATCTTTGACACCCATGAATTTGTATTTTAGTTCGCAAAAATCATCCACATTCTTTTTTGTTCCGCTTTCGAATAATTAGCGAGTAAAAAAAGATAAATAATACTTTGAAATAGGTGTGTACAATAATTAGATCCCACTTTTACGAATACGAAAAAAAGAAAATTACGAAAAAAATTTTTTTTGCTATGTATGTTGTAAGTGGGGATGGATTTGAAATTTCTTAATAAAATAAGATTAATAAATTGAAAGATGTATTAGAATTTTTTTATAACTTACACACTAACCTTCATTTCTTATAATAATGATAAAGTCTAATTATCTTAAATTACTCATACTGTATCTGTCAAGAATTTTTAAGCACAATACGTAAATGTTCTTGGTGGTTATACTTAATTCATCTTGAGTGAGATACTTGAGGACACCTTAAGTCGCTGAAGCTTTCACCTACTTTCTTGACCGCAAAATTCTAATCGATCAAAATCATTAATTGAATATATTGTAGTAATCTGGTGATCAAATCAAATCGACTTAATCGAAAGTATTTTGCATCAAGAGTGATATCATTATAACAAAAGCTGAACCATGTATTGAAATTTAACACTTCAAACTAGGGAAATCGCAAATCAGATAGTTTTATTTAATAAAATGTAACCAAAAACACAAGATTAGTAAAAGGTTTTAAAAAAGGAAAATTACAATATTCATAGATAACTTATTTTTAAGATATATAATCATTTAATACTTATAGTATTTATTAACATTAAAGCTAATTAACGTTAACTAAGTTTAAGAAAATCAAATACGCATAAAGTCAGGTGACATAAAATGCATAACGGTAATTCAATTTCAATTACAAATTACAAAAATGACCGATAAACAACGATAATTAAAACTTTGATAAATTAATATTATGGTTGACTTTGGAGTATCGAAGGTAGTTATTTTTAAAAAAAAAAAGATTAAACCGATAAAAATCCAACAAACCCAATTAAAAAAGCGAAAACAACACTTAGAACCATCCATGAATATGCGATTTCACCTCCATTATAAATACCCGAGTTTTCCAAATTTCCATGAAGGGGAATTGGATTTTGAGTTTCTTTAGGAATTTCATTTGAAAAAATACGAGTTGGTGTAAATGAACCAGATATTGTAGAAGGCATAGTATTTATAGAATTTGTTAAAATAGGAGTTGCCTGATTATCGATAATTGAAGAGGTTGGGGTAGAAAGACCACCCAGTAATCCTGAAATACCACCAATCGATTTCCCTCTGTATTTAGACCTTGTAGATTCTGGTTCGACAATTGACATTGACGGTATTATACCTTTTGTAATATCATCTAGATTTGGCAATTCAAACTGCCGTAATGCAACTACAAGGTTTAATATAAATGCAACGAATATGAGGAGGAAGAAGGTCGTTAAAGGATTATGAAAAGTGTTCATATTGTTTCTTTTTACGTGGAATCCAAGAAAAATTGAGAAATAATGAAAGATTTTATTACTTAATTGAAGACAATATCAACATTAGTTGGAGATTTGATGAGACATAAAGATGCATCAATACATCACATCATCCTATGAAGCGATGCGATGATGACAAAGAATCATTAATTTTATCGCGCATCATTTCATACAGCTTCGCGTTATATTCCATAAACTTGGAAATGCTTCACCTTTCCTGGAATCGTAGAAACATAATCTTTTTCTTAATACGTATCTTTTTCTTAATAAGTTTTATGTGTAGAGCGAGTAATGCTATACGTAAAGTAGAAGAAATAGAAGAAATAATGGTATTATTCTCTATTATTCTCTATAATAGTGAATTTTGTTTAGTCCGGAGTTTTTTTTTTATGACCAGATGAAAGAATTAGAGGATGACTAAAAAAACTATATAAAATATATTGAAAAGTTGTATTAAAAAAGAAGGACCGATCTAATTTTGGACTTTGATATCGGAATTCGGAAAGCTATATCAAAGATTAGTTAATTTGAACAACATTCCTAATAAATAAGCAACTTTTTTTTTTGATTGGTGTTGCAATACTTTAGCCATGGACCTTCTATATGGAAAAACTTTTCGAGTGTTTAAAGCACTTTAATTGTGATCCTTCCATATGGAGAAGGTTTTCAAGTGTTTATCTCCAACTTTGTAACACTCCGATTCGTTAAATGGACAAAATTTGCAATAAAAAATATGATTAATAATATACAATCATCTATAGCATATTTAGTCATAACTAACCAACTTTGAAATCATTTTGTTGGTGTCGCAATGATTCAATGATTCAGTGATTCAATCGCGAACACTATTTATGGAAAAATTTTCAATCATCTTTGGATTTTAATCGCGATCCTTCGATATAAAAGAAAGTTTCAAGTATTGCAAGTATTGCAGCAACCAAATTACCTCTAATGTTGTAACACCTTGGCTTGTGAATGAAAAAAAAAAGTTAGAATAAATATGATTAATAAGATTAAATCTTTATGATAATGATAATCATAATGGTAACGTATTATATTGTATATATTGCGTGTATAGTTAGTAATATAATTGTGTTAATTTTTATATATATTCGCGTTTTAAAAAAAAATTCAGTTATACATATATCAATTTTGAAAGTTACACCGTTAGTGCTATTATTATACAGTAAAAAATTTTATTTTTTATAATGGACAGTACACGCATAAGCCAGTTCCAAGCTTATAGATTCTTTGAGAACGTGCTCTTTGTAAATGTACACGCTTTTTAAATGTACGTTTATGTCGAGATATATTTAGTAAAGATTTACTGTGATTTGTAGTACATATCTTCTTATTGTTTCTATATATGTTGCCTTAATTGAAACATTGGTTATTAAAATATCTTTATATGTGTAATATAATACTGTAATAGCATATATCGGTACGTACGCATACATTTACTTTTAAAAATATTTAATTTATATTGAAATTCTAAAGAATACTTACGTATTAAACATACTTATTAAAAATATTTATTAAAAAATATTAATTAGAAATACTTATTAAAAAGACTTATTAAAAATATTTATTAAAA